TACGTTGGACAAGAAACTAACGACGGAATTGTAGTATCTAAATGGAAAGACGCACGAGAAGTACTTATGCTATCGACACTCCATACTATGCAGATGAGAGTTCAAAAACAGGCCGCTAGAAAAAAATCAAAAACGGATAAAACCCCAAAATTAAAACCCGAAGCTATTATTGCTTACAATAAAGTAAAATGTGGCATCGACAAGTCCGACCAAATTGCCTCCTATAGCACTTGTAATCGAAGAGGCGTAAAATGGTACCGGAAGGTGGTACTTGAGTTGCTAACTGGGATGGCAATGGTAAATGCATTTATCGTTCATAAAAATCATACACATTACAGAGCAAACATAAATGCGTTTAGAGAAGACGTTGCCAGAGATTTGCTATATGGTAAACAAATTTCTAAAAGAAATACACCAAAACCTGAAAAAGTTGTCCATTTATTAAATAAAACGAACACCCGGAAGCAATGTAGTCTTTGCTACAACAAATTAAGAAAAGAACTGCCAAGAGCAGAGGCAAGAAAGAAAGTGAAGCAGGTAAAGACGTTCTGCCTGGGATGTGATGGAAAGCCTATGATGTGCTTAAATTGTCATATTGAACATCATTCATAACTTTCCAATTGTTTGGCATATATTTTATTTTTTATATAACTACAATAATTTGTTTAAATTTTTAATAAAGATTTTTAAATCGTTTTTCTCATCTGTCTTATTTTTGTATGCGCCTAGAGGTGACCAACTTTCTAAAATGAAAAACCATGACCCAACATGCCTTCCAAAAAAAAAATATCTTATTTAATGGTTATTATTTAAAAAAAAGATGTGCTAATAACATCAATAAAAAAATTATCTTAAAGGACCTCCCAAAAATTCAGATTTTTAAATTAATTTTTCGCCAAATGATGAAGAAATCCGTAAGTTTATGGGTTTGTATATTTGGATGGGGCTAAACAGTCGTCCAAGTCTTGGATCTTATTGGTCAACCGACGTGCTGTATAAAAATAAGGTTTCCGAATTGATGTCAAGAAATCGTTTTGAAATTCTTTTGCGGATGATTCATTTTAACGACAACGAAAATAAAACAACCGATGACGGACTTTGCAAGCTCAAACCTGTACTTGACATGCTCAATAGTAGTTTTCAGCGTGTCTACGCTATGGGGAAAGAAGTAGTAATCGACGAGAGTATGATTCCGTGGAGAGGCAGACTATATATACCTTCCAAAAGTCATAAATATGGAGTAAAAATCTTTAAATTGTGTAGTAATACCGGCTATACATGGAAATGTCAAGTTTACACTGGCAGGCAAAATACCGAATCGGTGGTTATGTCCTTAATGGAAGGGTTGTTAGATGAAGGAAGGGTTTTATACACGGACAAATTTTACACTCGTTGTACATTAGCCAGAACTCTTCTAAGCAGAAACACGCATCTAGTAGGTCCGCTAAGGCGTTCAAGAAAACACCTTCCAAAAGAAGTCACTGCAAAGAAGCTGAAGAAACATGAATACGTTGGACAAGAAACTAACGACGGAATTGTAGTATCTAAATGGAAAGACGCACGAGAAGTACTTATGCTATCGACACTCCACACTATGCAGATGAGAGTTCAAAAACAGGCCGCTAGAATAAAATCAAAAACGGATAAAACCCCAAAATTAAAACCCGAAGCTATTATTGCTTACAATAAAGTAAAATGTGGCATCGACAAGTCCGACCAAATTGCCTCCTATAGCACTTGTAATCGAAGAGGCGTAAAATGGTACCGGAAGGTGGTTTTTGAGTTGCTAACTGGTATGGCAATGGTAAATGCATTTATCGTGCATAAAAATCATACACATTACAGAGGAAACATAAATGCGTTTAGAGAAGACGTTGCCAGAGATTTGCTATATGGTAAACAAATTTCTAAAAGAAATACACCGAAACCCGAAAAAGTTGTCCATTTATTAAATAAAACGAACACCCGGAAGCAATGTAGTCTTTGCTACAACAAATTAAGAAAAGAACTGCCGAGAGCAGAGGCAAGAAAGAAAGTGAAGCAGGTAAAGACGTTCTGCGTGGGATGTGATGGAAAGCCTATGATGTGCTTGAATTGTCATATTGAACATCATTCATAACTTTTTTGGCATATATTTTATTTTTTATATTACTACAATAATTTGTTTAAATTTTTAATAAAGATTTTTAAATCGTTTTTCTTATCTGTCTTATTTTTGTATGCGCCTAGAGGTGACCAACTTTCTAAAATGAAAAACCATGACCCAACATGCCTCAACCTTCCAAAAAATAAACAAAATTTATTTTATCTATTTTGCGTTCATAATGACTTCATTATGACACCGCTTTCGGTGCTGTAATGAGATACTTTATCCCACCCAAAATTTTGATTTTATAAGTTGGCTATACTTTAAACAGCATAATATTTCGTATATTGGTTATAATATTTTTATGATTTTTCTAGTACTTACGAGACCTTTCTGGCAATAAATTTTGTGTAACACCAAAGAAAATCCTTTTTTTTCTTCTTTAACATTAACAGCCGCTTATTGTAAATAAGTAAATTAAGGACGGTATGGCGAATCGATTTTGACACTAAAGTAAAATTCGACCAAATTAATTTAAAGGTATAAAATTATTTTTTTTATAGAATTTTTGCAAAATAGATAAAATAGCATGAAGAACTCATGTCATAAGACCTTTTGTCGCACTAGTCCATTACAAAACTCGCTCCTTTGTCGCTCGTTTTATAAATTGTCCGCGTGCGACAAAATGACGTCTATTATTTAATGGTTATTATTTGAAAAAAAGATGTGCTAATAACGTCAATAATAAAAATAATATCTTGAAGGTACTCTCAAAAATTCAGAATTTTAAATTAATTTTCAACCTGAGTCCCGACCACATTTAATAAAAAAAATTAGAACAAATCCTAAAAAAGTGGGAAAACTGATAATTTTTTTTTTCAAACGTGGTTTTTTACTATCCTGAAGGTACTCCCAAAAATTCAGATTTGTAAATTAATTTTTAACCTGAGCCCTGAAAATTGGGGAAAAATCCAGCGGTTCACAAATAATTTTAAAAAACTTAGAACCTGTCAAAACCAAACATCGGTAAAACTTCGTTATTCCTGGGAATTTCGAAAAAAGTTTTCATAAAATTTGTGATTTTTTTCGCCTACTAGATTTTGAGCTTCGCATCGAGATCTATTTTTTTTAATTTTAGAAAATGTGGTTGGGATATGCAATTTTTTATCGCATATTTGAAATCCACACCTACAAGTTTGTTATTACATTTTTTTCCTACCTTTCTCAAACAATTTTTGAGAACGCTACAGCGTTTTGATAACCGCAAGATTCAAAACGCTTCATGACCGCTTCATAAATTTTTTGAGACATTTTATATGGGTGATTCTACAAAAGTTGGACAACTTGATGTCATCAGTCAGTAGAGTAGGTATTTTAATATTTTTTGTAAATATTTTAGTGTATTACAAAAGATCCAGGTTTTTTAACTTGTCCACCCAATTTTAATGTATTTTTTCAAAAGCACGTTTGTAGAAAAACATAATAAATATTCAAAACATCAGTACCTTGGCGTGATTTGAGTGATTTTATTTTAAAATATATTCAATTTATCTTATATTTTTCAATTTCACTACAAACTATAAAACATTAAATAATGTATTTTTCATATTTTATCATAGATTCGATTAATAGCAATTTTTAAAAAATTGATAATCTTTGTACTCACTTTTACCCGTCAGTTCTGTGTCCAATGTTAAAATTCAAAATTCCTGCGAAATATTGAAGTTTAAACGTCAAGTCCTCGTTTTAACTCAAGTGTTGGTAAAAAATTACCTACAGAGCCCGCCCTTTGCACGACAGTCATCTTGAAAACAATGCAAGCGGCGAAGTTGTGGTGAATGCACGTATAGTTCCAGTCAAAATTTCAGTACTGTGGTGAGTAGTTATTTTCTTACGTATATATATTTCATTGTAATTTATATAAGGCTATATGTGATTTGTTGATAAGTAGCATCCACTAAATTGAAGTTTGCGAAAAAAAAATAACCGAAACATCGAACATGGAACTGACGACACGGTACTGATGAATGGGATACAAATTTAAGATTATAATTCGGAATTAAGTATTTTACTGATATTTTTTATTATAATAAAAAATATCAGTAAAATACTTAATTCCGAATTATAATCTTAAATTTGTATCCCATTCATCAGTACCGTGTCGTCAGTTCCATGTTCGATGTTTCGGTTATTTTTTTTTCGCAAACTTCAATTTAAATTCTGCTTGCGCAGAACTTGTTTATTTAATCTGCCCTACTATGGAGAAAGGCAGTAACTACAAAAAAATTCTTAATGCGTTTTCTTGTGCTATGATAAAGCTATGGACATTTTGTATTTTAATTCAACTAAGAAATGCAGTAAGTTAAATAAATCAATTAAATATCTATTGCTTTTTATAAAAATTTAGTTTATGCCAATTTTCCTCAGATTTCTTGTTTAGCAGTTACTGCCTTTCTCCATAGTTGGGCAGTAATGTCATTATAAACTCATAAATTTGGTGTGGGTCCCATATCAAATAATTGAGATATCGGTATACCCAAAATCCACCAGCCGCCACTGATGTGTGGTATTATTTGATTTTAAGATATTTAATGTATATGCTCAAAGTTGCAATAAATCTTATATTTTCCAATAAATTATGTATTTAATTAGTACCCTGGTATACTCGTCACTTCCCTTGCATTCAAATTTAGAAAACACAGATATTTCAGAAACGGTTTGAAAAAGTGACTGGCCCGGTCTGGAACAGTATATTTATTATATTATCTATGTTCTCATAACAAAATACTGTTTAATTTTCTCCGAAAACTATATAAACAAAATGAGGCCAAAATTTGCCCAACTTTTGTAGAATCACCCATATAATGTTTTAATAAAAAATTATATCAGTGTGCAAATGTAATTTTTTTTGTAGGACCAACCAAGAAGTTGCAAATAAAGAATTAGTGGAGGAAACAGGAAAAGGTAAGAGTTTTTACTGAATTGTCATAACTTTGTTAAATTTTTAAACCCTTGTAACTCAAAAACTACCAGTCAAAAATGTATTCTCAAACCTCTTTATTTTGGCACGTTGAAGCAAAAAAACGATTTATTTTTCAACACCCTAATAAATATACTTTTTTACAGAAATTAGAAAAAATTTAGAATCCGGAAACGATAAGGGTGAAGATAACTTAGAGTGCAAATACTGTTCGACTAAATTTTTCAAGAAGGAATTATTAGAAAGTCACGAGAAAAAGTGCTTAAACCCAAGGAATAAAGTTGACAAAGAAAAATTGTTCTCGTGTGACGTTTGCCTGAAAAAGTATCAAACAAAGAGAAGTTTAAATGAGCACACAAAGTATATTCATTTAAAAGATAAACTGGAAAAAATTAAGTGTAGTAAGTGCGATTTCGCAACAGTGAGAAAAGATACGTTTAAAACTCATTTAAAAAATCACGAGGAACAGAGTTCAGAAGTTGATAAAAGGAAGTTGTTTAAATGTGAACTGTGCTTCAAGAAATATCAAACAAGGAGGAATTTATCTGAACATAAGAAGTATGTGCATACAAAACATGAACTGGAAAAATTTAAATGCAGCGAATGCGATTTCGTGACAGTGAGAAAAGATACTTTTAAAACTCATTTAAAAATTCACGATAAACAAAGTTATTTAAAATGTTACTTTTGTCCGTATGTGGCTAGTCAATTGCGTACCTTGGATTCACACATATTGAGTAAACATAAGGTGGAAAGTAAAAAAGAAAATAATATAAAAATCACAAGCAAAATACATTGCTGCAGCAAATGTTCATACTCGACTGTTAAGAAGTCAAGTTACGATACTCATTTAAAAGTGTGTTTGAAATTGGAAAATGTCAAGTGGTACGAATGCCATATTTGCCAGTACAAAACCATTCTAAAAAGCAATTTAAGTAGTCATACAAAAATTCATAGTAACACAAAACAATTGAAATGTCTGTTTTGTCGATATCAATGTAATATAAAACAAAATTTAGACAACCACATTTTAACAAAACATTCCGATATGTTGGATGAATCCAACAAAAATATAATCACCAACAAAGTTCACTGGTGCGAGCACTGCGAATATAAAACCACACAAATAAGTAATTTCAAATACCACCTAAAAAATCAACATTAAAAACATTTTATTTGTTATTTGTAATTTATTTTGAGTCCAGTTAATAAATTATTACTATTTTTTAAGTTATACTTCTTTTGGCGCGTTTAGAGTAAAATTTCAGCATCAACCGGAAGTGACGTCACAGCGTGCCACGGAAAATGTGAAACGCTTTAAACATCAGGAGAGCACCAAATAATCTTTCAAATACACAAAACTGTGACTTTATGGCGTTTTTGCAATTATACATTGTGTTATGTAATTAATGTAATATATTAAAATGGGTAGTTCTTTAGGGTCCATAAAGAAGCACCTGAAGCTTTTTTCTTCTAAATTCTAAAGACTAAAAATAATTTATAATAACCTTTATCCTACCAAAAAGTACTTCACTGATCGACTAGGAACTTTAGGCTAATCTGGTTGCCTAATTTAATTTATTATGTTTAGCGTTTCCAGATTCTGTAAAAAAAGTTGCCAGATTTTGTTTAAATTTAGCTTACTTAATTATAAAAATTACAAAACCAACAATGCAAATTGGCGTTTTTATTAATTGTTGATTTTGTCATTTTTGTAATGAAGGTAAATTCAAACAAAATCTGGAAACTTTTATGACAGAATCTAGTGCAGTTCTTTCAAATTTTAGGTTATGTGCTCAAATTGTAAATATTTTAACTAAGGAAAGTGCTTTTGGATTTATTTACACAAATTGAATGTTTAAAGTTTAACCTTTAAACTTGTCCCAATTTTATCTGAGTAAACAGAAAGAAAAAAAAACGATGAAAAATTAATTTTGTGGTTATGGAGTTTTTAAAATAGGTACTAAATTTTCTATCATTGCTTAAGCAAATAGCTGGATGAGTAAATAAATACAGAAGGGTATTAGAGCTTTAAGGGCATAAAACTTGTATTTATTGAGTTTTTATTTATTTTTTGCAAGAACAATTTTTGGTAACCAATTTTTTCCAACTGGCAAGGCGCAGCTACTTTGTTCGTTGGTATCTATGTACTCACAGAACACAAGTGTGTAACCAGTGGCGTATCACAAAAAATTTTAAAAAATGTAATTCATATTTTTTTTTATCTTTGGGAAAATATTTTTTTAATATTTTTCCGTTACCTACACCTTATGTCAAAAGGTATTCAGTATTTTAATATATTACATTAATTACATAACACCCTGTAGTATTAAAAAAAATCAAATAAGAAAATATTTTCTTAACATAATTATATTTTGAAGTTATTTTAATAATAATAAATAATTATCAATAATTGTTAAGTTTAATTAAAATAATAACAGGCAATGTTAATTGTAAAAATTAAGTCAAAAATGTTTATTGAGATGGTTACTTTATTTTCGTATTGTTTTGTGTCTGCGAAATGTTTAATTTTTATTATATTTATTTAAATATTATATCCAGCTTATTGCCCCCCCCCCCCAATGCGCATGTTTACCGCAACTATTTTTAATTAACTATTTCAAAGAAGTCGAAGCAGACGCATCCTCGCAATAAAAGTGATCCACCGCGCGAAATTGTACCCGCTTTGTGCATCGCACCCGCTTGAAACCATCGCTAATAGTCTAACTGCCAGAACCAGGGCCCTGCGTGTCTCCATCAACACCAGCAACAAGGTAGGACTATACTTTCTTTAGTATTCTTACCGCCCACGTTTTATCTATTTACAAAAATCAATCAACTAACACCACCAACCCCTATTTCTCACATTCAGTCCACTGCCTACCATTTTGGTCCTTCGAACCGGCGCGTTAGATCACTTTTTATTACGGGGGTGCGTCTGCTTCGACTTCTTCTAATGTGCTGAAAGTTATGCCAAACACATACTTGAAAATTAAAATTATCTAACGCAAAGTATAGGCGAGATAAGAATAAAAAACGATAGCCAATCCCAATAGACGGCCATAGGAAATTCTTTAAATTGCTAGGATACTTAAGATGCATTGTTCATATTATAATAACTAAAATATTTGGTCGACTGGAATCCACTTCATTGTTACACTGCTGTCAATTTTTGTTCCTGTCATTATTTATCATTTTAAGTTATGTTTTCCTGATTATGCCAAAATTATGTATATTTATATGTGGTATGGGCGCAATGTCAGGGAGGCAGCACGAGTTTTTTCCCAGCGCTTTCCCGATCGTCCACTGGACTGTAAACTTGTTCTGCGTTGTAACGAAATTGAAGGTGCTCCTTAACGTATTAGAACCTCGGAAAATAAAGAAGTTATTTTTAATGCCCTTGATGCAAATAGTAGGATGAGCGGTGGATGATTATCTCTCACCGCTGTCGCTGTACTTGATGCATATACGAGGTGTGTTCAGAAAATAACGGGAATTGTTAAATTTCGCGGGTTCGGAGGGTCCGGTTGTCATAAAATTTTCTTTATTATGTTGGTATACATGCCCCCGAAGTATGATAAAAAGTTTAACTGTTTTCATTGTTTACTTTGTCTGTGGCAGCCGCTAAGGTTAGATGTGTTTTATGAGCTCGGCGATTTTTCGTTCGTTAAAAGAAATGGATCAAAGAATTTGTATCCAATTTTGCTTAAAAAATTAAATAAAATCTGTGAAATGTTAACAAAGGCCTATAGTGAGTCTGCTATAAGTAAATCAAGAGTTTACAAGTGGTATAAGAGTTTCCAAGATGGCCGTGAAGACGTTGAAGATGACGAACGCCCCGAACGCACAAGCACATTAACAACCGATAAAAACATGGAAAAAGTGAAAGAAATGGTTATAAACCATCACAGAAGTCGCTGATGGTATATCGATTGGCTCATCCCATGAAATTTTTTCGAATGTTTTGGGTATGAAACGCGTGGCAGCAAAATTTGTTCTAAAATTTTTAAATTTTGAACAAAATTTTTGGCCGAAAACAATACTGTAATGATGCCCAGCCTCCATATTCACCAGACATGCCTCTGTCTGACTTTTTCCTATTCCCAAAAATAAAGAGAACCTTAAAGGGCCATCGTTTTGCAAGCATAGATGACATTAAAAGCGCATCGCTGAAAGAACTAAAGGCTATCCCAAAGATCGAGTTTTAGAAGTGTTTCGAGTATTGGAAGAAGAGCTGGCACATGTGCATAATATCCAATGGGGATTTTGAAGGCGACAACATTAATGTAGACGAATAAATAAATATTTGTTTCAAAAAACGAAAATTCCCAATATTTTCTGAACACACCTCGTATAAGGCGCTTGGCAGCGTCTGTTCTTACACACCACGGCTATCTGGCACTGATGAGGTCTAATAAGACCGAAGCAGGCTGTCTGTCGGTGCCTGTTTGTGTAGCACAAAAGCACGGTGACGAGATATTTGGACAGTTCTTGGTTTAAAGTGATTGGATAATTTGAAACTGCCCTTACAAGCATACATTTAAAAAATGAAAGGACACATTCGCCACAGTGGTTTAAAATGAAAAAAATAGTGGGAAAAATTTGCACAGCAGCATTAATTAACGAAATGTTAAATTTAGAAAAAATAAAATTTACAATCTTTTAAAAATGAAAGTATACATTTTTCCGACAAGTAGTTTTTGAGTTATAAAAACGGTTGTTGTAAAATCAAAATAAACAGCGCATTTACTGAGAGCTGAAATTGGTTGACAGATATCTCTTACATTTGTGTCAAATTTTAAATCGTCATAACTTTGTGATTTATAAGATTTTTTTTCCATTCACGGATAGAGTTTAAAAAAGGAAAAACTCTTCTATTTGCATATTTAGAAGAAAAAGTCATTCTTTATAAAAACGCCTGATTGTGTTGAAACTACTCTTTTCAATTACTATACAGAGTAAATAAAAAAATAACATTTTTAGT